GACTGTACATGCTTTCTCAGTATATTTATACGAGTTCACATTTTGTGTTGCAGGTCTGAAATAGCTGCAAAAGGAGAGGTGAGAAACACCCACTTTCACTTCCTTTATGTGGTTAAACATACGCAGATATGAGCATTATCTTGGTAACAGCTCCATGTGGAGTTCAGGGCATTTCTGCAGCGCTGCTCCATTTTTCTAAACCTGCTTTATTTGATTAGATTTCTTCAGTGGAGCAAAGTCTGCTCAGTCGCTGTGTCCCTAAGTGATTTTCATCCCCTTTTCTCATTACTAAGGAATGAAAGACAGTTTTCCTTCTGCTATGAAATCCCACTCTGCTGCCTTTTGTCAGCCTTCTCCCAGCTGCTTCATGTCATTTTCTGTAATATCGCTCCCCGGGCAGGAAAATGTTCAGATGTTCATCCACCAGTCTCTGCGCGGAGAAGTTTCCACAGTTTCCCCACATAATGGCTTTAATGTTTCTGCATGGATCACTGAGTAACACTTTGTCAGTCCCCGCACAGGAAGAGCAGCATCAAAAAAAGAAATACTGAAGATCAAAGCGTCATGCAAATGTCCTCAGTCTGTCCAGAAAATGCAGCTTAGAGTTCAGATGAGATTTAAAAGTGGAGGGGAGCTGCTTCTGAACAGATTATAGCGTCACTGACAGCAGGGTGCAGCTAATTATTTCATTACCAGTTCTTTAAAAAAAAAAAAGTTTGCGTGATTTAGAACATGAATCCAATTAATTCGACAGCAGCTCATGCAGCGTAATCCCCACCTACACTAAAGCAGAAGCACAATGTGACTGAAATGTGCTGGCGTGTTACGTCAGCAGGCAGCCTCACCTTTAAGTTTCCTGTCACTGACGTTGAACCCAGAATACTTTGACGAGATTGTCGGACCGATGTCATGATCATCCGTTCAGCTGCTCTTTTTCCATTTTGTGCTTCCAAAGAGACAGCAGCCCAGGAATTCAAACAGATCATTAAGTTTGCCAGGTAGTTTGAATTGTAGCTGCTTTATTGATTTATTCATGAATGATTTTATTACTGATTTCTAATTGTTTAGTTGGCGAATTTCAAAAAAATATGAAAAATGAAAAGTTGATGATAGTAATTATAATAATTCATTTTATTTATATGGTGCTTTACAAAAACTCAAGGACGCTTTACAGGATAAAAGAACAATAAAAGCAACTAACTATGCAGAAATACAAGCGAGCAGATAAAAACAACACAAGAGATCAAGATAAAGGTTTAAGTGAGAGAAGCAGAGCGAAACAGGCGAGTTTTTAGTTTGGATTTGAGCATTACTGGGTCTGTGGTGTCACTGATGTGTTGTGGGAGAGAGTTCCAGAGAAGGCCCGATCCCCCCAGGTTCGGTGCTTGGTCCTGGGAACGATCAGGAGGTGGGCATTAGCGGAGCAGAGGGTACGTGGAGGGTTGTAGGGGTGGTGCATGAGGTAAGAAAGGGCCTGGTTATGGAGCGCTTTATGGGTGAGTAGGAGGATTTTGAATTGAATGCGGTATGGGATGGGAAGCCAGTGAAGGTGAACAGGGTGTGGGTGAGGAGGCAGGCAGCAGAGTTTTGGATGCACTGTAGTCTGTTGAGGAGGTTGGTGGTGGTATCAGAAAGGATGCTGTTACAGTAGTCAATGCGTGATGTAATCAAGGCGTGAATGAGGGTTTCTGCTGCAGGGAGGGAGGCGGAGGCGGATGATGATTAAAGGTTCGCTCAGGTGTAAATTCAATGCTTCACCTTGTTATCGCGTCCATTCGATGTTGTTTTTACATGCGAGAAGACATATCATGACTAAGATTTACACAAAAACACTTGAGACTTCTAGTGTTTCATTTATAGCAAACATAAGGAACCAATCCTGGAGCTTTCTGTGTCATTACTCTTTTTCAGAATCAGTTTCGGTTCGAACATGCACGGCTGTTATAATATAACAACCCTGCATCTGTGCCGTGTGTTGTTTGAGCAGTCAAAGAGTGTGTTTGAACTGCAGTGTTAGCTAAAGAAAATTTTAAAGGTACGCTGTAGCAGGGTCGACTGCCACCAGAACATTTCACACTAGTCCACTGATCAGCAGCTGGCAGCAGTAACGCACCAAGAAAGGTTAGAAAGAAGAAGAAGCAACCGGTGGTGGAGGATCAACACTGCAGATTTTTTATGAGGAAGGAAAAACATTTGTTCCACCTCAAGGACACACACACACACACATACACAGTGAGCTTTAGGTCAGAAACACAGAATATGAACACATCTTTGGTATTTTTGTTTTTATAAATAACCTATTATCCTGAAAATTCTAGTTTTCTTGTCATGTGACTCATTGAGAGGAGCTAATGTGTCACTCACTTTGAATGTACTTTATGTTTAGTAGTCAACATTGCAGCAATGTAAAATTCAATGAAATATTTAAAATTCTACATATTTAGTTGAAGCAGTTGGCAGTTAGCCACTCTAGAAATGTGGTGGTCTGATGTACGCGTCTGTGTTTTAACTGCTGAAGAGTTCAGAGTTCCTGGTAGATGATCGAGGTCGTGTTTTATTTCCTCTGCGCCTTCCTGTCAGTTCTGATCGGATCTATCTGTTGAACTTGTCTCTGTGCAGCTGGTGTATCACAGCCTGCAGCTGGTGGCGTTTGCCGTCCTGGCCATCCTCATCATGCGGTTGAAGCTCTTCCTGACGCCCCACATGTGCATCATGGCGTCGCTTATCTGCTCCAAACAGGTCTGTCTCTCACCAAGCAAATAAAACCTCCATGTGTCATAACTCTGTTTGCTTCTTTACTTTTTGTCTGTTTCATTGTGATGTATTGTGTAGTATAAGCTACAATCTGTTCTCTCTCCATCCTCCTGTCAGTTGTTCAGCTGGATCGGGGAGAAGTTTAAGCACCAGATCACGGTTTTTGCCTTCATGGCCATCATGACGGTACAGGGAGCGGCCAACCTGCACGCCCAGTGGGGCATCATTGGAGAGTTCAGCAATCTGCCTCAGGAGGAGCTACTGGACTGGATCCAGGACAACACCCGTCCTGGTGAGCGACGGATTAGTTTTACTAAACTGTAATCCTGATTGTGGTGCCCAACATAAATCACACAATCATGATTAGAAAAATACGTTTCCTGCAGAGTTTTTTTTTTTGGTGGTTTCCTTTTTATCACTTATCAAAATATTTCCAGTGGTTTATGATGAATGTTGTGTCACAGGAGCTGCTGGTCTCACTTTGTACGCTGTTATCGTTGTGCACAGCCAGAACGCACTCTGCAGCCTAATCTGCCGAAAGATATGGATGAGTTCAGATAGCTGTTTGTGTTTTAGATCCGATACTGATAGACTGAACGAACCTGATCCGGTGTTGTTCTGATAAACAGCTTTAAAGGATTTTCCATGAGCATAAAGTTAAACTGAGAATAAAGAATAAAGGAACAGTAGTTTAGACATCTCACCAACGTTTCTGTCTCATCATCTGTTGTTTGTTTTTGTGCGTTTGATGCAGATTCTGTGTTTGCCGGCGCCATGCCCACCATGGCCAGCGTGAAGCTTTCCACAGGTCGGCCCATCGTCAACCACCCACACTACGAAGACGCCGGTCTGAGGTCAGTGCGGCTCACGGCTGCTCTTATTCTCAGAAGGAATTTGTTCGACAAAAGCGGCTGTCGTCATTTTTCTCAGAAGCTGATCAGAGCATCGCATCCTGATCAATACGCAGCGCTCTCGGCATGGCAGCTCAGACGGCATCTAGACACAACCTGTGATCTGATAGAAGAACAAGGGTTGCTGCTTTTTTTACTCATTTTGGCTGATTACCAGGGCTAGAATATGCAAAAAACAACATTTAAATGCCTTTAAAATGTTACAGTCACTGCAAAATAAGAAAACTGCTATGACTTACATTTTCAAAATAAGCAGATAATGATGCGATAAAACCAAAAAGGAGATCAGTGGGATACAGAATAACTGTTACCAAGGAGATGGAGGTTTTTTCTTTTTTTTGTACTGAAATGCTGCATTTTTACCTCCGTTTCTGGTTCAGAGTCAACTCTCTGAATTCGCTGTTCTCTTCCTGTCGATAAAACAGCTCATTGCTTCACAAACCAGGAGGAGGTTGAGGCCATTTGGAGGTAGCATTAGCTGCTAATCGAAGCTCTGATCAATTTCTGTCCCTCTGCGGCTCGGCGCTCACGTGGCCTGCCTTTTTTTCTGGTGTTTTGAGGCGTCACTGACATATTGCACAATACAAAGACTGGTGATGGAAAGATTTTAATGCAGCGACATTTCTCAGTGTGGGAATGTTGATGCGAGACAGGTTAAATACAGGAGACACAGAAGAGAGACATTTTAGTTGAATCTGTAATTAGAGATGTAACGGTATGAACATCTGAAGAGTTCATTTACAAAAACAGAGAACTCCACCTTCACAAACCTTCACAAAACCCACTTCTCCATCGTCTACCTGAGACAATAACCGTCAAATTTAAGTTATCTCTGTTGTTGTCATTTCTGCTGAGTCACATCCGCCCAACTTCAGTTTGATATTTTCTCAAGCAAACAACAAAAAAAGTTTTCTGATAATCTTCAAAAAGGGAGTTGTCTGTTTTTGCAAAGGAACTCTTCATTCTATACACAGTTGTTAGTGTTAGCACGGTATTGTTGAATAGGTGCACATGTTAAAATCATTCACCTGGGATTGTATTAAGAACCAGAAAACAACTGAGATCGTAATTGCAATGAGCCCAACAACCCCTCCTCATGCAGTAACTTCAAAAGCAACTTATTCTGCATTTACCTCCTTTTGCAGTGTTTTTCTAGACCGTCTTCCTCCACATTTCCTACTGCATAACTAAAATGTAAACATGAGCACACTCAGTCCTCTTAGCAGGCTGGAAAATGCCAGACTGAGGTTGATGCTGCACACAAGTTAATTAAAATGCAGCAATCAGACAGTTTTATTGCTAATTGAAATTAGAAACGACGGGACCGTTGTCGCGGTTTAACATGGAACTGGTGAGTGTTTCATCCTCATCTGTGATTGTGCATTAATGGAACCAAAGCTTTGAATGCTTTGCTGTTTTTCTGGTTTATGTTTTCACAGCTAAAGGGTACAATTGTATGCAAAAGCTTCTGCACCTCTGCTGCATAAAAACGCACATTTGGTTGATTTTTTTCAAAGTGGAAAAGATCAAAACAACACCTGCAGCTTTTCTTTAGATTCCTTTTACAAAGTATGGCTGTACAATTTGAGGAATGAAAAGTAGGATCACGGAGTTGTGGTTAGTACCGTTGCCTCACAGCTAGAAGGTTGCTGGTTTGCGTCCTGTTGAGGACACCTGGGATCTTTCTGCGTGGAGTCTCCATGTTCTCCCCGTGCAGCGTGGGTTCTCTCCGGGTTCTCCGGCTTCCTCCCACAGTCCAGAAACATGCTGAGGTTAATTGGTGATTGTAAATTGTCCATAGGTGTGAATGTGAGTGTGCTTGGTTGTCTGTCTCCAAGTGTAGCCCTGTGATAAACTGGTGACCTGTCCAGGTGAACCTGAGTCAGCTGGGATAAACTCCAGTCCCCCATGACCCTAGTGAGGATTATGTATAGATGATGGATGGATGGATGGATGGAAAATGCTTCACTCATAGAAATCTACAGAAAACATCCAATGTGGATAAAACACATCTGACATTAGAAAACCTTATTTCACTCTTTTCAGTCATTTTTGCTCTTAGTTGGTGTGCTGCAGTCACTGAGTGGAGTCTACAGCCACCCAGCCAGCACCGACCGTAGACTGTAGTGTCTACACGTAAGCAGATGTTGAGCAAGTGATGCATTTTGGGTGCACTTTAATTAATATTTTGCCTCTAGGAGTCTGATATCGTTGCAAAGATTTGCACATGAGCAGGAAGGCAGCATCACACCAACAAAGTGAAAGCAGTGTTGTGTTTATTTATATGTGAAAGTTAATAATCCCCCTGGTAGATACATCTTGCAAATGCTTTTTCAAGCATCAGTGCACTTTGTAATTTGCCCGGGGAGGGTTCCCAGACAAGGTGGAAGTATCTGCAAACGCAACCAGCAAACTTTTTAGACTGTGAAACAAACCTGCAAATAAATAATGGTTTTCAACTAAATATGCACACATGAATAGGAAACATATACACACATATACCAGGAAAATGTTAAGTAAGTTGTCGTTACTGTTTTTCCTCACAGGGAGAGAACCAAGCTGGTCTACTCCATGTACAGCCGCATGTCTGGAGAAACTGTGAAGAAGAACCTGATGAAGCTGGGCGTGGACTTCTTCGTCCTCGAGGATTCTTGGTGCACGAGGCGAACCAGGTACCTCAACGCCACCGCTGGTTTCACATGAGATTGCACACAATATGAAAAAAAATAGTTCCTAACTCGTACTTTTCTCCTCATTCGTCTCTGTTCTGTAGGCCTGGGTGCAGCATGCCAGAGATTTGGGACGTTGAGGATCCCCAGAATGTTGGTAAAATCCCCCTCTGCACCCACATGTCCAGGAACTCACGACCTCACTTCACCACAGTCTTTTCCAATGACATTTACAAAGTCCTAAAAGTCCCCAAAGTCGCCAAAGACCTCAGATAACATCGCTGGATGGACCGGCTCAGCACCAAACTTGTTCTTTCCACCACTTCTTTATTGTATTTTTTACATTTTTTTGGTCGCTCACTGCTGCTTTATACTTCCCAAAACTCAAATCCCCGTAGTTCCACCTTTTTTTTTGTTTGTTGTTTTTTGCATTGTTCTGATTCGCTGAGCGATGGACTAATAACAGGTTGGACATGCCAAAACAGTATGCCATGAGTCTAACCGCTCCTGGTGGCCTCACAGTTCTCAGTATTTGTGACTCTTGCCAATTATTTTTATTGTCACCCAGCGACGTTCTCATTCTGCTCCCGGTGGTGCCCAAGTGAAAGTCCAAATGTGTTGTAGCTCCTCGTTTAGCTTGTTGCAGTGGTTCTGTTACTGAGATTCCTTATTTTAAGGGATGCTGTTCATACATCTGTGTTGTTGTTTTTTTTTACTGCTTAAAACAATTTTCTTTTACTTCAGAAGTAAAACGTTGTCTGGCAGGACCAATCAGTGATGTCCACATACTGTGAAGCAATACCTTTGCAAATTCTATTGTTATGCACAGTGTTGATCTCCGACGAGATTTCTTTCAGTCGTACAGTATTTTTATAATTTATTTGTGTGAGCGTTTTTATGCAACTTGGAGGTGTTACGCTGTTTTCTTTGAGGATGTTGGTGTTTTAGGAGTCTTGGGATTCGCAGGGGAAAAACTGTTTGGGCGCTTTTTAAAATCTTTTTAAAACATATCGTTCAGCGTTGGTGTCTAGACTGAATTCACGCGAAGATTATGATTAAAATTTCCACTTAGGAGAAGAGCTTTCCTTCTCAGTTCAGTTCAGTTATAATTAGTTTAAAATGTTTTTTTTTTATGGCCAAACTTAGTAAGCAGATTAAGTAGATTACTCAGAACTGCCCTGTTTTTTGTAAATACCCGAATTGCTGTTTTGTAAAATGCTCGTGTACAGCCTTTAAAAGGTTCCTCGTGCTTCTTGGATTATTGTTTATTGCCAAAGGAAGTCTTGTTATTAATATTCAGGGTACTGTAGCACATGGAAGGTGTGGTTTTAGTGATTAAGAACCATCAGCTTGTGAGTTCTGTGACAGCCAATCTGAACTATCTGTAGCAGTGAATTCTATGTCAATGGTAGCAGTTGTGGGTTCCTTCGTCGGGCCACAATAAACACTTCAACTTTTTAGGAAATGCACTCATTCAGTTCTCGCTGAGGGTCAGATGAGAAGATCGGTACCGCTCTCATTTCTGTACATTAAGTATGTAGCCACAGTCCAGAGGTAGTTAGCTTAGCTTAGCATAGACAAAGAAAAAGGTAAATTCATGGTTTTCTCTTGTCAGAAACGTTACCTGGTGTTTGTGTCATTATGTTTAGATGGTACTCGACATGTTTGGTCCTGTTCTTGTTGAGCTCCTGCTCACACCACTTTCTCTCTTTGACTTTTTCTTGTTGCCCGGCCAAACACGTCAAACCGAGCTGCTCTTCTGCTTGCTGTCAGGAGGTTTGACCGATTGTAGGATGTATAGAAACTGTGGCTAACCTGCTGCTGTTGTCGGCGTCCACAGCTGTCCATGGACGTTGAAGTGGAAACCGTGAATTGGCCTTTGCACATTATTTTTATTTTGTTGACTGTCTGTGTTGGTTGCTTCAGTTTGGATTTACCTCCAGACTCCAGTAAAGTCACTTTAGTTGTTAACTTTAGTGTTGTTCATATTGGGACTTAGCCAGGCTAACGCTAGCCGTGCTTCGAGTCTTTTGTTGCCTTCAAATGGATCTCATGATTCAGCACGGGAAGTAAACAAAATCTTTGGTATTCCAGCGCTAACATCGACTGTAATTTGTGACACCGCTATGCCAGGCAACATCAACGTTACTGTCAGCACCTAGGAGCAACCGAGGCTAGCTAGCCATGTAGCAAGCTAACAACAGATAATGTAATGTAAGACAAAATGAAAAAAGTTATGCCTTTGGGAATACCATTTTCATTAGATATTCTAAAATTATCAAGAAACAACTGTATGACTAAAGCTTCAATATATTACGTAAACTTCCACGGCCTGAAGTTGTCACAGGAGCACAATTTGCGCTAAGCTAAGCTAGCTGCCCAGCGATTGTGGACGATCGCTGTGTCGATCTTCTCATCTAGCATTAAGAATATTTCCAAACTATTCCCGTGGTGGCAGTTTGTGATTGTATTGTTTGTATTGCACAGGTCAAATATGTACATTTGAAAGCATCAGACGTGTTTATCACAGTCAGTCACGTCTGTCAGAAAGTGTCTGTTAGCGCCATAGCTACGTATTGTGTTGTTGGTTTGTCTTAATATAATCAAGCTCACTGGCTGCTAAAGCTGTTCTAAATCACATTTATCACCTTTTTTTTTTTTTTTTAAATCAACCTGCCTTTCTTTACTTTTAAAGCTTGGAGCCTTTTTTTTTTTTTTTCCAGAATGACAGCAACTAAAAAAAGGAGCCGAACATTGAGTTTGTGTTACAGTAACTAACAGTTTGTCTTTAGAAGAAACGGTTTGACATTTTGGGAAATAGACTTGTTGGCTGAGAGTCAGATAAGAAAAGCTGCTACATGCCTGTACTTTAAATATAAAACTTAAAAACGGCTCTGTCAGGCTACTTCAAAAACACACCTGCAGGAACCTCTAAAGGTGTGAAGTGGTGGTTTTTTACGGGGAATCATGCACCGGACTATTTCTGTCTGAGAACAGTAGTCGTGTGATGACAAGTTGCTGCGCCTGTAAAACTACAGTGTTGGACTGTAGAGAGTCAGACCGGCTGTTTCACTTCACCGCTGAGCTTCCATCTTGTTGGCTTCGTATTTTAACGGACAGACATGAGAGCGGCTCGGATCTTCTGAAAATGCCAAACTGTTGACCATGCGTGGCAACGGGAGCGCCTCTTCTACGAGTCGATTGGCAGGTTGCATGTTTCCTCTTCCAACATGTTCTTCATAATCACCACTGGTCAAACGTGATAGAAGAAGTTCTCTCGGCTTTAAGGTGTTTTTTCTTGTGAAGCTTGTCGAATCGTCACACCTTGGGCTAAATGACGTCACTGATTCGGCTTCTGGATGAGATCATGGAACAAATTCGAATAATGAGATGAAACTTTTAGGCAAACTGTACGTTCACGATCCCAGATTAAATGCGGTTGAACAAATCGTGCAGTCCGGCTGATCTCAGACCCGTTTGTGGCGCCACGGCTCGCGGTTTGCAACTGGTCTTGTAAGTGCCCGTTTTTAAGGAGTGGTGCTGTTGTTAGAACTCCCCCGAACACTTTGACAAAAAACAGTTTATTCCTGGCGCGGGTCTCGGTGTGTTCCAGATGTCTTTTATAATATTTGTCTATTTTGTCTGTATTTTAAAAAATAAAGTATTTGCCATGAGCGCTGCTGCTTTTTTCTGTTTGTTTAGATGTGAATAACACATTTTCCTTCATTCCAGTTTATTCCAATCTGCTGTATTTCCCATTAATCCGAGTGTTATGACTCTGTGGGTCATTCTAACCTCCTGCTCTCACTGTCAGCATAAAGATTCAGGGAAACAATAACCTGGACAATTAACATACTGTATACCAAGGCAGAAATAACGAGCTCCCTGATGTTCTCGTAGATTAATCGTAGCAACCGGACTTGAAGACGTTCCACCTCTCATCCAAGAGGCTTCATCGGCTCTGACTGACTAGTTGGGAGTTCCAGATACTGACATCCTTAAGGATCCATTAACACCTGAGTTTCAGTTTCATTTGGGGGTTTGTTGCTCCTCCCCCTCATTATGCGAGTCGTTAGTGCTCCCCCTGCCACAGTGGGGTTCGTTAGGGTCTTTTGTGGCGACATGTAGTTTCATCTTCCTGGGGAGAGATCTTAGGACTGAATTGTAAACAGGTGAGAGGTGATGCCTCAGATCTCCACCTCTGTTGAGGGATGGTCTTTGCAGTTTGACACCCCCTCTCTCAAACCACCTGTCCTCTCTCGCCAAAATCTGTACAGTATTGTCTTCAAAAGAGTGTCCTTTGTCTTTAAGGTGCAGGTGGACTGTCCTGAGGAGCTAAGTCAGTCAGAACTGATGAAGCCTCTTAGATGAGAGGTGAAATGTCTTCAAGGAAGTCCAGTCGCTATGATTAAACTACCAGAATAACCATGACCTGGATGACTGAGAATCTTCACAGACGAGCTCCCTGGTGCGTTACACAAATCTTTTTTTTTTTAACTTTTCAGAACAAATCAAGCAAATTATCCACCTGGTTTTGCCGTTTTTGGAGCTGAATGAGGGGATACTTGCCGGCTGACCTGATCAACCTGCATAATCATTCCAGGTCTGAAGCGGACACGCTCATTCCAGTTTGGCTGCCAGCTGGGAAACGTGCAGGGTTATAATCAGCTGTAATTATCCTTCAGCTTCTTTTCCGTACTGTTTTGTTCAGCACACAGTGATTGTTAGTCCTCACAGACTTTTTGTATATAAGCAGTCAGGAACACCTCGCTGTGTGTAGGAGTGAACCGCTCGCTAAATGTGATGGCACATTTCACTCTGAAATGCAGCGCTTACCCTGACTCCAGACTACGCAAAAACAAGATGTCACTGACACCATTAGTCTCATCCGCTCATCAGCCCTTAATGGAGTTTTTGTGGACAATTTGATGCATGATATGGGAACTTAATCTACCGCTCAGATATGCATTCACTTAGTCGTGGGGCAGTTCTGGATCCGACCTTTTCTCAGATCTGATATTTTTCATTAAAGAAAACCTGCCTTGTTTGAAGAAATCCACAAATGAACTTCAGAATACAAGTCATGAGCTGCGGATTTGTCACTAATTTAACCCATAAAAACGAATCTGAGGGCCAAAGTTGTATCTTTAGAAGTTTGTTCTTTCCACTAAAACAACCCCCTCCAGATTTAAAACGGCTCTACATAGCGGCATAATCTAGAATCTGGAGATCTATGTAAAGCCACCCCTCCTGGCTCACTGCAGCTCGAGCGAACCAGCTCACGTACGACTCTGCCCAAACACTGTAAAGCTATTCTACATACCGCAATGGCAACTGGTGATATTGAGGTAATTCAGCCATTCATGTTTAAATCTGCTGCAAGGTGGAGCAGTGGTTGGCACCGTTGCCTCGCAGCATGAAGGTCGCCGGTACGCATCCCGGTGGAGTCTCCATGTTCTCCCCGTGCAGCGTGGGTTCTCTCCAGGTTCTCCAGCTTCCTCCCACAGTCCAGAAACATGCTGAGGTTAATTAGTGATTGTAAATTGTCCGTAGGTGTGAATGTGAGTGTGCTTGGTTGTCTGTCTCTAAGTGTAGCCCTGTGATAGACTGGTTACCTGTCCAGGTGAACCTGCCTTCACCCTGAGTCAGCTGGGATAGACTCCAGCCTCCCATGACCCTAGTGATGTATAGATGATGGATGGATGGATGTTTGACTCAATAATGAGACTGAAAGTTCCAACCTGAAGCTGACAGGATTGAGTCTGTCGGTTTGTCAGATATGAAACCGAAACTCAAGTGCTAGTGGCTCCTTTAGGATATCAGTATCTGGAACTCCCAACTAGTCAGTCAGAGCTGATGAAGCCTCTTGGATGAGATGTGGAACGTCTTCAAGGAGCTCAAGCAAGTCCAGTTGCTACGATTAAACTACGAGAAAAACCGTGACCTGGATGACTGAGAACCTTCAGACACGTCAGATATGAAACAATGCAAGTCTGTATTTTTGAGACATGTCAACACGGTAAAAAAAAAGAAAGGATTTTTACTTGAGGGGTCTTTAATCCTGAAGATTTCTGCCGAAATGAAATACAACATGGCTGCATAAATGATTTAATAGTATTTCAGGTGTTGTAGACAGAGATTTATGCTGCAGCAGGTGTAGTGACGATACATCGATGAACAGTTCAGCGTTAAAACTCATCAACAGCGTTCGGAGCTGAAACATAAAATACAAGGTAGGCAGACTGGCATTGGAGTTATACAATCAGCTGTGGGAAGAGACGAGCTCCTAGAATTGCACTATATTTATCTTCCAAAGTATTATATTGTATGAATTGTCAAAATGTTTTTTATTTCACCAAGCTGTGGGCTAAAAACCTGACACATCAGAACCAACACAGGGCCTCAATGGCATTTACACAACTCTAAGATAAAATCCCACAGTCGTAGAGGAAAAACGTCTGGGGATTCACCGAGTCAATAAATTCAGTGAGTTCAAATTGGGCCCTTTTGTTTCCCTGTATGTTACATTTTTTCTGCTCATACTGAAGCTTAAGCTATGATTTTATTTTATTTTTTTTTGAGTACGTGTAGGTCTTAATTCAGCCGTGAGCCGTACACCTCAACCTCACACAGAGTCAGGTACTCTTCTCTGCCAGGTATGACGATATTCACGTAGCGGCCGTCCACCCCGTTGCAGTTGAACTCAACGACGGTGCCTGCGGGGATCTTTGTGATCACAGCACACCTGGTAGACGAAGCAAAAATCCAGAATGATTCATTTAGAAAACAAGATGCACTGATAGTAACTGCAGGCTTCATAGGTCCTCCTTCCAAAAGTCTTTTCGGTCCTCATCTCATCAAGGTGCATTTAAGGTGTTTAAAAGATCCTTCATCATGGCAGAGGGGCAACAATATCTTGGTCATGGGAGGAAAGAGGATGCAAGGAGGCACAAGTTAGCATTTACTGGAAGATGGACGAATGAGTGGCCATCAGGGGTCAACACCCAGCATGCTACACTCACACAAACAGTCCTGTTGACACTCAGCAACGCAAGCATTTACTTTGAACTAGTGGAACATTTCGTATCAACCTGGAGCTGAGATAGTTCAGTCTGGATCAAAGGGGTGGACCGTCTGTCCTCTAGAGTGTCTGAAAATGTTAATAAGAGTGACTGTAGGACATGAATTAAAAGCACAACTGGAAATCCAGGACTTTAAATTAGAAGTCTGTAAACTACCTGGCGTTGTTGTTGCCATTGTTCTGGAGAGAATCTCCGATGCGGATCTCGGCTCCATTGAGTCGTTCTGAGAAAGAATCTCTGTTGGCCACCTTGACGGTAAACACTTTATGTGTTTTGAGCAGATCCAGTCGCCACCAGGGGTTGAGCTCGCTGTTCGTGTGTGAGCAGGAGCCGCTTTCCCACTTGCCGTCTTGATTCCCATCTATGGCGTTTAGTGCAATGCCAAATGAAAACAATGACGACTGCGTGGCTTTTCCTTGGAGTGCAAGATTCGCTTCTGCAAAAAGAACGTACTTGGTCTTGACAAGAGAAGGTGCTTATTAACCAAAACAAGGATCGTTGTCATAGAAATGCAGGTCGATTTAAAAGCTAGAAATATGTGAAATTAACAATTTATGGATACCACCGTCGTTTTATATTCAATGAAACCACCTTTTGGTTTTAATCACAAGTGCACCGTGTGTATATCAGAACTCTTTATATAGAAACTAGAAATTTTAAGTTTACACCAGTGTGCATAGAAAAATAAAATGGCTGAATACTGTCCACATGTATTTTGCGCAACAGCTCAAATTCCCACCAGTTGGGGCAGGGTACCCGTAGACTTCCACCTCACAGAGCGTAAGGTACTCTGGGGATCCAGATAGCGCCAAAGTCACATAACGTCCTTCAACACGATCAGTGAAAGTCACGGTGACTGCTTCTCCCAGACCAGCTGAAGCAATTGTACCAACCCTGACAGAAAAGAGAGAGAGTTAAAGTCCCCCATGACGGCAGTCGACTGACATTTGAGAGCCAGCGCTGATAGCAACGCCTGTAACCAGGGTAACTAGTAGGTAACTAGTAGGAATGATGTATATGTGGTCATTTAACTTGGAGAACTTGTTGGACTATGAGTACTAAACCCCAGAAACACTTTTCATGGCCCATAGTTATGCATTACTGTGAGAAGAACCTTCTAGTGAGTGGTAACCATGACAGTAGCAAAGTAGGAAGTAGCTAAAGCACTGTAGGGAGGAGGTTGGGGTGGATGGATGGGTCGACAATAAGTTTGACAACAAAGCAATGGATTACAATTCTGAAGGTAATTGGTGTTTGAGAATGAATCTAACAAAAAAGTAAAAATATGGCCATGTATTACTTGCCACCAGTCGGGGCACAAATAAACAGTTAGCCCTAGAAATGGTTTACACTGACTTCCAGAAGCTGTAGAGAAACAGAGGCTAGCCCTGGCACG